TGTTGGTAAATGGCTGAAAAGCTTCTCTGAGTAAAACTAGTCATCATCACAATTTAAAATGTAAATTATCTGCTTAAAATTACAAAATGCATTGCAAACATGTTTTTGTTATAACTAGTGCAGTGCCCGTTCTAAATCTGCCTTTTCTCTTGGCCTGTGTGAAAACTCCAGTGGTCCTTATCATCAGTGAGTCCTCCTCAGTTCTACAATAAGCTGTCACGTTTTCTTGTTTGTGTGCTAGATGTTAGGTGCAGAGGTTTTTATAAGCAGTGCATGGTGCAGAGTGAAGTTAGAAACTTGTGTTCATCCTACCTGGTGTATCTGCAATGAATATTTTATAGTCAATAATTTGATTGATTGTTGAGTGCTTCATTACTGTTCACATGTGTGGCTTTCATATGTTTGAATGATTTATAGAACTACTGATATTTTTTAACATTAAATATTAACTATTTCAGAGGCCGGCCTGTTAAGCAAGTGACACGATCTTCAGACCCTATTTCACAACTTTTCAAAATAAAAGCTCTGTAATTCTGCTTGATATAAAGCATTTCAGCCATAAAATGGACGTTGTGCTTTCACTTTAAAGACAATTTGATTATATGACTGTTGTTGCCATTACGGAGATCAGCACCTGCAGATTTTGGCCACTGCTGTAGTTTATCAGAGGACACAGCACCGTGTTCTGTCCCCACTGACTACAGACCGCTAGTCGTCTGTTTATTTAATTTTTATTAATATTAAAATTACCATGTGTCCACATCTCACAAAACTTGATACTGCCCTGGGTCATTATAAATACAAGTGTGATGTCGATTAGATGAACATTTTGTGAGATATGCAATCCAAATACAGACGGACGATAGTGGAAGTTGTTGGTAGATTACATTCTCCAGACTTTTACAGATTGGAGATCAGAGGTGAGACATTTAATTCCTGTGTGCAGTTTTACTTAAAAAAGAATAGCCTACCCCCAAACTAAAAGTAGCATGACATCTGCAAGGGGATTGGAAACATACCCTGTTGTTTTAGAAATGTGATGTGTGCAGGGAGACCTTTCCTTGAATCGCCTATTGAGCAGCTCTTTGAATTCTGCACAGCTATACATACTGTATGTCTGCCACCGCTGGTTTGAAGACAAAATAAATGGTTGCAGTCATATTATGGAGATAGAATCCACCACTGCCAGGCATCAGTAAAGACCATGTAACAAGGTTATGCAGGATCGTCCAATTGGTGTTTAGTTTAACGAGTGTGTGTAGGTCTTAGCCTGATGGAGGTGATAAAGAAAAGGTCAGAGGATCTAAATGGGAGGTTTCCTCCCTGTGGGGGGGACTTAAATATCAACTGCACATTTCATAGGAATCCTATTATTAGATGTGGAGGGAGCTTATCAAGCACCAAAGCCTTTGTCAATAGGAAATTCAGATGAGACAGTGGTGTTATATAAAGGGTCACAGGGTCAACTTAATCATTAGAGGCCATCATCCTGAGGCTACAAATATCTGATTTCTATGACACGTGGTGTTCTGCAGTCCAAGATTTATACAGGTGTGTGAAGTGTACAAATAAACTTAGGTTGTAAAGATGCTGGAGGAGATGAGATGTTTTAACAACAAAAATAAATGTTGGGTATTTTCTACAGTGAATTATTTTTATAGACTTTACTGCAAAAGTGTAATGATTATATTTCTATACCCAAAAAGAAAATTGAAAATAGTAATAACTAGAATTATATAGAGTGCATTCCTCAGCCAGGGCCCAGCAGTCCCCTTATGAAAGACTGTGCTCCTTAAGCTCATCTGAATGAAATGTAATGTAAAAAGCCACATTTACAGTCACTTGATCCGTATTTTTATTTGGATTGGCACCAAATTGCACACAGACAAATAAGTCCTTTGAATATGCCTCATTTATTTTGTTCAAGATCCATGAATTATTCTCTGAGAAATCAACAAAAATGGAAATAAAAAACACCCTATCTTGTATTGATAAAGAAGAAAAATATCTTAAAACAAAAATAGAGTACATACCTCCACCAACGCCCAACACTCCTTATGTGCAATTCAGCCAAATCCAAATTACCCACACAAATATCAGGTGGCTAAATATGCCAGAATTAAATTCATCAAGATCTCAGTATGATTCGTGGTTACATCTTTAGTTTTTGCATAATACTGCTAAAACTGTCAAACAAACACTGACACGAAGCATTTAAATTCACTAGATCAGCATTTTTCATCAAGATCTATAAGTTATTTTTTTGAGGAATCAAGGAAAAAGATTACTGGATCTTGATCTGCACCAGAATTTTATGATCCCTATTTGTTGGGTTAAGATGCTAACAAATAGAACTTCCCTGGCAGACTTAGTACTAGGTCAGCTAATTATTTTACTGAAGTTTTTACTATTGTAATTAATAAAATGAATGAACAATTTGATACTTAAATACAACCTGAGGTTCTGCTCCACTTTCACAAGAGAAGCTTCATGACCGCAGTTCTGCATCACTTGGGCAATCATGGATACTTAAAGGGCTTCCTGGTAATAATATATTAATGTCATCATCCGGCTTCAGCTCATCAGCCACAACAGTAAAATCAGTTACCGGTTTTAATGTTGTGGCTGATCAATGTATATGGAGTTTCATGTTACATAATTTATGTATATGGTGCACGTTATGAAACAAATGTAGTGAGGTCACCATACAGTCTTAACCCATGAATATAATGGAGCTGCATGTTCATATGTAACATGTTTTATTCTTCATAGTCTTAACAAGCCCAGAGAAAACATGAGCAGCTACATGTGTGTCACCATCTTCGTTCATCTCACTGTAGCATTCATTTAAACAATTGGATTCATATTTGAAGTTACTTTTACTGTTGGTAACTTTCCAATTCATAAACATTGAAATGCAGATAACATGTTGCCATTCATTTGGGTGCCAAGTTGCCAAGTCACGGTGTTTGCATAATTAAGCGTAAGCGAGACATGAAAGCAAAGAATAGAATTTATTATGGATGAGCCATGTTGTTAACTGCATCATTTAAGATAAAATCGTCCATGCTACAACCACCTGCAAGGAACGCTGTACGAGGGAAAGTGACTACATTCACAAAGAGGCAGCAACGATTTCATTGGTCAACATTTTTAATCGGTTGTGAAATTTGGACTGGGTCATTTCATAAACATCCAAAAGTGAGAGCAGGAGGGAAGGAGACCCACTGAAGCAGAGACGCATTTGTGTAAAAACAGTGAGCAGGTGCTGTTTGAGAGAGGCCAGGGTTTTGAGGGAGAAGCTTTACCAAATCTGAATGTGGAATTAAGAAATAATGATTGGGAAATTAAAGGCCACACTCTCCTGAATGAAAATAGGAAAGAAAATCCACACTCATACTTTAAGACCATGACAGAACCATGTCAGAACAGCAGGTATTTCCTATAGTGTACAATAGGTTGAGTCCTACTCTGTTCCTCCTGATGTCACTAATTAATATCTGATCCCCCAATACTGCTGAAACATACAGCACATTATTATTATTTAACATTGTTATAGAGTTATAGTTTTGATAATCTAGACTTCAAGAATATCTGGCCTGCTGAACCACAAGGCAGGACAGAATCATATTTCTAATATTCAAATCTATTTTCACATTAAATTCATATTTCATTTTATTCTTTGGTAAAAGTTTGTCTGCAGCTTGCACTGTTCAACCATAAAGAGTATTTTTGCCCCTTTTCTTTCATTAGCCTCTCAGATCATATTATCTTTCTTTTTCTCTTGTTCCTTTGCATATCTTGTTAATCCTCCACCTTGCACACAGGTATTAATACATGCACTGCATACATTTATCCCCTGATGACACTTAACACCTCACATACAGCACCACGATCTACCTCACACTTAGAGAACTCGATGATTTTGTAGCCTCCCACACTGGGATTTTATATTGTTAGATGACATAAACATTTTGCCGTTCTGTCTTTATGCCTGTATGTTCCGACACCAAGTCTGCATTCTGTTGCTTTGTTTTATTGTGACAATGCTATTCTTTCTTCTCTGAAACTACTACTGCACATAAGCACTGCTGTTCAGTCTAAAGGAAATTATAATAGTTCATTTGTCCTCTTCTTGTTCTTCTTGTCTTCTCTTTCATTTGAATGACTTTGTGCTGGCGACAGTGGTGGCCAGAATGATTGTATTTTCGAAGTGAGTGCATACCATTGCCAAGGCCTAATAGTCCCCTCAAACTGAATGAAGCTGCAAAAAATAATACTGATCATTTTTAATCAGGATCCTTTTATTCCATGGGAAAATAGTAAAAATGTGAAAAATTGAGAACATTCCTGAATCTGCCACCTGATTTAGATCCTCACCAATAAATATATATATGTGTGTGTATATTCATGTAACACTGACTTTCTCTTATTTTTTTATCTTAAAAGAATAAGGAAAGGAGAGAATAGTGATAAACTGTTGCTTGTTCCTCGTGTCATAAGCTTCCCTCGTACCATGCACGACAAGCACACCGTGTGTTATTGGATGCTATAATGGAGTAACAGAGACCTGTGATGTGTCATTTACAACAAACACCTCTAACCACATGAACCCAACTGATTACACCTTTGCTTGGACACATAATCTCACCATAGCTGGGCAAATAAATAAATATATAAATGCACAAATAAAAACAGCTTGACAGAAGTAATTGAAGGCATTTGTCCAGACAATTGTTTAACACAAATCAGGCTCTATATCCTATTACTGCCTTAATAGCTGGTGAAGACACGTCGCGCTTCAAATCATTCTCCTCGGTGCTGTGGCGTCATGACAGGCCATTCAAATTGATATGTTTCGTCTGCTTGTGGTTTTGCTCTTGGAAACACTTTCCGCAGCCTCACCCAATCTCTGCCGCTGACTAATTGGCTGTTTTACAAACATGCTCTTTGTCTGGGGTTTGTGCTCAGCTTTGTTGTCTTTGCTTGTCATCCTACAGAGACGAGTGTCCTGCAGAGTCCCGTCTTCACCAAGCAGCCCGGCAGCATCGTGTATCCTGTGGAAACGCTGGAGAGGAACAGGGAGGTGGTGTTCAGCTGCGAAGCCCAGGGAAGCCCACCTCCCATGTACCGGTGAGAGTGCGACTGCAGCGCTGCATCTGTTCCCCCCTCTGCCTCCCTCTCTTCATTTCTCCTCTCCACTGATTCTGTTCGCTCTAATACAGCTGACGATGTCAACATCCTTCAGACTCAAACAACCCTATCACTTGCAAACGTCTCCTCTTTTCTTGAACAGTGTTGCTTTTTGGCAGCGCTGAATGCCAATAAGAAAAAACAGTTCACTACCCATAAATCCTGCTGAAATCAACACAAATCACTCGATAAATATATATTGTAATTATTCTATTGTACATTGTAACTATCCATGTTAAAGAAAGGGAAAAAACATCTTGGATCCATCCAATGTTCTGGATCTGCTGTGTAGTATAATGGGCTGTTCATTGGGTTATGCCCCACCCCTCCTCCAAATGTTGGAAATCAATGGAGTAATGTTTTAGTAATGGCAAATTAAATATACCTCTTTGGTGGAAGTAAATATTCTAAATGCATTTATTTACTGTCATGAAAATATTAAAACCAACAACAAATGTGTACCTCTTGCCATGAAGAACCAGTGTTCAGTTAAACTCCTGAACAGACATCAGTGAGCTACACAGTTGCACCGGAGTTATTCCCTTAATGATGATGAACACGGGCACTGTCATTTATTTAGAAACAGTCACAAATATGCAGTCCCACTGCTGAAAATAACTAGGAGAGCACTAAATGTGTATTACAGTAATCTGCAGCTGAATATAGTCCCCAACAAATTGATTACCTTTTTACCCTTTCTAAAAAGTAAAAGATTTAAAATGTTCTACGCTGCCAGCAGGATTTTCATACATCTTTCATCATTTCTTTACATCTGTTTCTGAAGCTGTGCATCTTTTTGGGAAAGTAAGGACTTGGTGTTCTGAGCCAGACTAACGAAAGGGCAGGGAAGGTGGAATGTATTGAGTGACAAACAAAAAAGATCTCGGGTCACCGTCATTTAGCATTTACTTCGGCAATTCAGTTGATGTCAGTACATCAACCTGCAAACAGAAACTGCCAGCAACTAATGCAGATTGACTTCATCAAACTGTAAACAAATAAAAAAGCAGGATCCACTTGTCAGTCATTGACTCCCAAAACATAACTCCAAGCTGAGAAAATATTCATCACAAACAGAAATAACACAGGAGTGACAAAATCCATGAAAATGTATTATTTTGTTTTGCTATACATCAGTAATTTTTCTGACAGTATTGGGCATGAAACATCCAATAACCCAATAACAATGGATTTTTCATTTCTGGAACAGTGACTATCTATTATCTTTGTATTTCAAGACATTCTCTCTTTGGGATACACATGCTGCACAGATTCACTGTTTCAGAAGAAAGTATGAATATCTTCCTGCTCTTTCATCCCCTTTTTCTCCTCAAACTAGTTTTCTTTAAGAGGTCTTAAAATAAGGGTTGTCTACAAGCTTCACAATCTTAAGCAATGTTTCATCAGTGTGATTCTTGATAGCACAATAAAAATACAAAGTAATTACAGAAATTTGGATTTGCAGCTTTCTCGTTGTTCAGGCACGAGCCGACACGATGAACCGTAGAACAGAGATCATATATAGCTCTTCTGATCTGACAGTTTAATCCACACACTCTACATGACACTTCTGTTCTAAAACTAGAAACCAGCAAGTTTCTAATCTGACAGAGCCTGAAGCTGCCTCCCTGAGACTGTGACATTAATAATAATAATAAAGAGAAAAAAGAGATAGACTCTGTTTTTGTCAGATGTATTTAGGGCTTTTAATGCCAAATGTGAGTCAGTTCATTGCCGTCCTAACAGTTGCAAAGCAGAGACAGTGTCCATATTCTGTAATGTAACCCTGGGTATTGTAGTGCCGTCCTCAGATTCAGTCTTCCATTCATCCCAGATGTAACCGCCCCAGGATTTGTCTCCTTTTGCATTAACAAGAGTCTTGGCTCCGTTGTCTCTAGCTTTAGAAAAGACTTGTTCATCCTCACAAGTCAAGCCTGAGCTGATCAGGATCATAGGAATCTATTACATGAATTCTATTTCCTGGTGGATTTTCTTTTCAAGTCCCTGCTGGAAACGTGTCTTGTCTGTGTGTAGTCTGGGAATGCATGTTAAGCTCTCCGTGCACCTTGCTCCAACGATGTTCTTTTTTTCCCCCCGCAGAGTTCAAAGAGCAGTTCTTTTTCCTTTTTTCTTGGACCAATAGTCCATTGAAAGGGTGTGGTGTTGCGTGGAGGCATTTCTGGCAAGTAAAAGTTAAAATCAATCATGTTTGCAGACTGAAATTGCTGGAGTAAGATTTGAAAGGATTGGTACATTTAATACTTGGGATTGGGCCAGTTTAGAGAATGGCCTAATTTACTGTTTCCTGTCAAGGTCGCTGTGCAGTCCTGTCAGAGCAGCTGACGCCTTCGAGAGATCTGCTGCAACACCTTGGTCATGTTCAAAAGTTTACTAATTGCACATCGCACAGCAGTGAACTGTGACAGCTCGAGCTGCAGTGTTTACATTAAATGTCACGAGCAGAGATATTGTCTGCACTGAGCCCAGATGAACAAAAACAAAGAGGGATTTTTATATCTTAATAAGCGGAAAATAAGGAGGTTGCATGAAAAAATCAATTGCAGGCACTGAGGTGGCTTGTTAAAAATCCTATAATATATAAGGACGTTTTTTTACATTTATACTGAAGCTGTATAAACCAACATGTATCAGCAGACTTTCCTCTTTAGGGTGTTTTGACACACAACATCCCCAAACCAATAAGCAGTCTAATTCTGCACAACGGTGTCAGAGGAATAGTTCCACAGTTTGGCAAATCTGCTTATTTGCGTTCTTGCAAGAGTCACATGAGAAGACTGATGCTGCTCTCATAAGTGCCTGTTAAAAATAAGGTGACAAAAGTGAAAAGTACAACTCAGCAACACGAGCTTCATCAGTGTGATTTACAGAATGTGTGGAAACTACTGTCCCATCATCGAAGCTGGATCACTTATCCAATTAGAGGCAGACACATACGGTGGATTGTCAGCCAACAAAGGATGCGCTTCCAAAGCACACAACAAACTGAAACACAAATACACCTGGCTGACGATTTAAAAGTGCTCACACAGTTAGAAAAACTTTGTGGCTGTTAGCTATGTTTGTTTCCTGACTGGATTCATTTTGAAGATGCACAATCTCTTAAAGCAAACTCTGGCCTCTGGGCCAAAAACGGCCTGTGAGACACTTGGATAAGGTTGTTTTTTCTCTTTAAGTTGACCTGTCCATGGTGTGCACCACCTCTCGCCCAATGGGACATTGTCCACTCCCCCCGTGACCATCAAGAGGTTAAACAGCACAAATAATCGAGGGAAGGGTAAGAAAAATAAACCTCATCAATACAAAAAAATGTCAGCAATTTGATGTAATAAATGAAAATAACATATAGTAGAAGAGTAGTTTACTGACAGTGAAATTGTGCCCACATACAGTTTGGGATACTATTTCAACAATGGGCTTAAATCCTCTGCTTGTTGGTGTCACAAGACCACATTCAGACAGAGACAATGTTACGCAGGCAAGTTTTATGGTGAGCAAGCTAAAAGCTAAGAAGCTGAAACTTCATTCACAAAGAACATTTGCAAAGTGTAAGTGTCTTGTTGCCGCTGCAGAGCTGCTTGCTCCGGACAAAGTAAGACTGAGCATTGTGTGCAAACACTGCACTTTCTTACTCTGCAAGAACAAAAGCCTCCTATGACCTCTGAATGTGCTGGTGACTTTGCAAAACTCATTGAGGCGTTTGGCGAGAGGTTTCAGGATATGAAAAATGAATGAAAGGAACTGAGAGTGTTGATTAAGTTGTATAACGTGGAACCAGCTGTTGTGTCTGACAAACCTTAACATGAAATAATCATGCTGCAAAGCAACAACAAGCTCAAAGTGAAGTACAACTCCCCTCGGCTGGAGCTCTATAAACTGTACGTACGTCCCGAGGATTTTCCATCCTGAGGAGACATGCACTGAAGTCTCTGTTCGGGACAACCAGCTGCTATGAGCACCTCTTTTCAAATAGACTCTTACAAAGATTCAGCTCCAATCAGCTCTGACTGACCCAAACCTGGAAAACCTGCTGTGAGAGGCATCATCATCATCATCGATACAATCTGACATCAAGTCAAAGAGAAGCAGTTCCAGCCAAAACCTCTTTCAAGGGTTTAGTGTGATATGTGTTCAATAATTCAGTATGGGCCTCAAAGAATGTTATAAGAACTGAAATGTCTGTTTAAAGGCTAACACCCATTGGATAACTGCTAAAGATTCAGCATAGGTTACATTTTTACACATTCAGTACTTAGGCCCTGTGTCGAAATGTGGTAAGTTTCTAGCTGACAAGTAGTGACACTTAGGTCATGGTTTACTTAAACGGGGGGGTCTCTAAAACAAAGACCTTTGGACAGGGACGATTCTAGGATCACAGTTGTCGGGATGCTCAGCCCCTATGAGAATGCATGCAAACAGTACGGGGTCGGCACGGACAATTACGACCACAAAACAGGCCGGGGGGAAACTGAGAGAGTGATAACCTTCAGATGGCTGTTATGTTATGTGCCTACCAGTTCAAGTCCACCTCCTGTGAAAATCAAGTTTTTAACCTCATGAACAACATTGTTGTTATGTTGTTTTTATATCATACCAGACATGTCATGAGCGGAATAAGCAGTATAATGCCATGGCTAACAAACAGCACAAACAGATAAAGAATGTTTTTGTTGGAAGCCTCTGTTTTGGGTACCAGTCTGATTGTGTGGGTACTTAGACAGCTTTAATTGTTTTGGACCTGTGTCCTTATCCCCTAAATCAAAAAAGTAATCTTGAGCCCTCTCTGCTTTAGCTTGGTGGCTGGTATGCAGCTCTCTTTTGTCTCTCTTGTCTCCCCTCTCACTCTCTCATCTTTCAGAGAATCTCCATATTCTTCTCTTTCTCCTTCAATTTTGAAAATAAACAAAGAGCATATGTTGTTAACTAGGAAAGTGTTGTAATGAAGATATGATGTTTAGAATGAAGTCTACAGACTATCTGTCCACTTTCTCACCTGGTTATTCCTCCTCTTGCCCTCTTCGCACTGGCAATAACACATAAATATAATGTACAGAGCTAGAAAACAACATATACGAAATAAATTAAGCAAACAAACAGAATATTTATAAAATAAATCTATGTAAGAAGTGGTTGGAAAGAATCCACATTTGCTGACAGTACATCATTACACTGCTTAGTATTGTAAAATCGTTATGATGTCCACTGCAAAGACTGTAGGGGGTAGCTAACAGGGCTTATGTGGTCTTGACTTCCTATCCACTTTCTTACCTGGTTCATGCTCTCTCTCCTCGCCCTCTCCATCCTCTTCTCTCCATCTGCACTGACAATGACACATAAACATATTGAGTGGAAATTGAAAAAAGTATATACTGGTAATCTAGTCATAAATAAAGCAAACAAAATATCTATGATGTAAATACATGTAAAAAGAGGTTGAGGAGAAACCACTTTTGATGTGTTTAGTGATGTAAAGTCATTGATAAGACCACTGTAAAGACTGTGGGCAGAACAATGACGAACATGCATTTATAACTATGTGGTCTCGACTCCCTGTCCACTTTCTTACCTAGTTTCTTACCTCTTTCTCTCTGTTCTTCCTGCTCTTTCTCCATCTCTGTCTATCATCTCTCTCCCTCTTTGTCCTGTCAAACAGATGGTAAATATAACACCTAAAGAATTTATTCAATGATTATTGGAAGGAAGATAAGGTGAATCTATGTCAGTCTTCTGCGTTCCAGTTAAATATTGTGTTGCTGTGCTCAATGCAGTCTGGTAACTTCCTCTAAAAAGAGGCTAAACTCACCCCCTTGAAAAACTTCACGTGTTCAGTCTGGACATGCAGAAACTATCCCTTCTCTACAGCCGGTGTGTCGTTTGTCCTTTAAGGGACACTGTAGAAACAACTATTCTTGCATTGAAAAAAGCTTTTTGTTTCATCAACTTACAAAAATGACTGAAATTGGTTACACACAAATGAAGCCTCTTTTCTTTTGAAGCACTTGCCTGTCACCACCTCTGATATTAAACCTTATGAGCCTGTTTGCCAACACAAATAGATTCTCTGGGCTCATTGGACAAACAGTTACAACAAACACAAGGCAGTGAAGCTTGTAAATAACATGAATGGTGTTAAACGTAACTAAACTCAGAACTTTAACTGTAACTATCTGGGGTGGGGGCAAACACGTAAAACCCAAACTAGTATTTTTATTAATACATTAAAGCACCAGGCCCAAGAAAAAGGAGCAGACCTCCGAACATTCACAGCCTCATAAACCAGATGGTGTGGTATTATGCCACTGTGTACGCGGCCTGTTGTTACATGATTGCATAAAGCATGTGCCTAACAAATGGAACTGCTGTTCTGGCCTGCTTGCCAGCATAAATCATTGTAAATAGAATTATTAAATAATCTGGTTTACATGTGTTTGATGGAATCTGTTGCTCCAATGCACGGATATGGATGATTTCTAGAATCCAAACTTCGTTCTGTCTCTGTTCCCGCACCGGTCTCAATTTATCTGCTGTTAGAGTGTTTCACAGAAATTTGAATATCTGTCACTTAGCTGCTTTAAAGTTGTTATCTAATTGGCTTAAAGCACCAAGAGTTGTCTCAGGGAATTCAATTTGTCACAAAAGAGAAATGGCAGCGCTGGGTGGGTAGTTATCTTTAAGTACCACTATGTTTAACAACCCCACACACATGAACAATGTGGCACATTTAGGGATTCTCACTATCTTCCTCCAGCTGGGGTAATTCTTCCTCCTTTTCAGTGCAGGACGTGATTACAGACTCCAATACATCAAAACATTTTCCAGGCTCAATTAGCTGTTCAGTGGACGGCTCAGATAAGGCAGCAAATCAACAACTGTCAGAGAAAACCTTTTTACAACAATGTTTTCATGCTGTCACCTGATTAAACCATTTAGAATTTGGGGTTTTCAGAGTTTCTCGGGGCAATTACGACTGTGAAAAGGGTGCGTTTATTATTGATGGAATCCTTTTTCGCAAAGGGAAAATACACCTTCTTCATCGGACAGTGAGGTTTGGAGCATTACTCCCCCTCTCTGCTGCTCTCTGGTCCACTCTGCCTTTTTGCATTCAAGTCCAAGATGCTCGTAGGCCGTAAAATACAGTGGAAAATTTTGATTTTTGTTTGTTTCAGCTGCAAATGAATCGCCGCTGTAACCCTGTGAGACGACAGCCACCACCACCCCCATCACCCCCCTCAGGCTCTTCTGTATTGTGTATAGCAATAAGGCTCCAGAGTGTGTGCACTTACTTATGACTGAACTGGAGAAAGGCCATGAAAGACCATTGTGCTCCACATTTTGTCTATTAAAAGAAAATAAGTCTGTAGAGGCAGGTTGTGAGTGCTGCAGCATCCAACCCACAAATACCCTGCTGCTGGTGAGACACTTCAGTCTGTGGGTAGGCGGGTAAGCAACACAGTCTGACATTGTTTTTCATGTAATCAGCTCCTACTTGTGTATTATGTGATGATCCGGCACCAACAACAGTGGCCAGGGCATCGAACATAGTAGATTTTCTGCAACAAAATGAGCCAATAAGTCTGTTGTATATGGCGTTATACTATAAAAGATGTCATATAGCAAGAAAATACCACAGTGATAACACAACAGCACTGTCAAAAAGGGTCTTCTTATGCCTCAAAGGCACCAAATTGGCACGGCAAGGGGGAGTAAAGATAGCAGTGCACAAAACAGCTTTGCACAACTTCTGTCTACTGTACCAAAGGGCTTTAGCAAAGCCCCTTTTTTCACATCAAAGAGTCTTTTCTTTTCCAAGTGAAACAATACACTGTTTTCTCTGGCTTAGGCTGAAATTATTGAATGAAAATTGAGAAAAAAATCAGAGCACAAGGAAATGCCCAACTTCTCATCAAAGAAATAATCAACTTCAGAATCACCTTGAGCCCTAATCAAATCTGCATTGTCCATTTTCGGTATAAAACAATACTTTTGTGCTTGTTTATCTGTGCAGAACCTTTTGTTGCTTTTATGGTCGTACATCCTTGATAACAAATAACATAACAGTCTGAGCTCTTTTTTTGCACTAGCTGAAAATAAGTTATGGCTTGAAAGCATTTTTCTTATTTCCTCCCACTTGTGTTTCCTCCTAATAATGTGCATCTGTGTGAAGAGATTGGAGAGTGTGTTGCCATTTTTAAGTGAATTATACCCTTCGTTGATCACCCCTAACACCAACGATAATCATGTGGCTGGAATACACAAGTGTGAAGGCATGGTTGCAGGCATTTGTTTTAATTGTTGCACCATCGTGATTAAGCAGTGTGTTCATCTGGTTTGACTGGGGCCTGCCAAGATGGATGGCCTGCAATGCTATCTATTCTCCGAGAGTCAAGTCCTTGGCACCATGGAGGTTTAACCATTGCTTAAATTAACACTAAGCTGGAGGGCATGATTTCCGGGCCCTCTCCACATTCTCTTTCTTTCCTGTTAAAAAAAAGTCAAATGTGCAAGTCACCCTCTTCTTCTTCTTCTACTTTGGAACACTTCCATTGCCCCGGTCTACACTGAACAATGTTTAATTTGCTCATTTACATGTTTCTCCATTATTTATTGTTATAATGTGTGTAATGTGTATAATGTTTTTCTTCAGGTGGAAACTGAACGGCACAGAAATCAGTCCCAAATCTGGATCGCACTACAGCCTCTCTGGAGGCAACCTCAGAATCAACCGTCTTAACAAAGACCAGGATGCTGGAACGTATCAGTGCCTCGCCTCCAACTCTTTTGGGACCATCGTCAGCCGAGAGGCCAGTCTAACCTTTGCATGTGAGTCTTAATTTTTCTCTGTAGGCAAACATTGGTGGTTGCCAGTTATTCTCCAGGATGACATTGCAGCTTTTTTTTTTTTTTAGGGAATTATTAACTCCCAGTGTGTGGTGACTAGATTTTGATCTGAGTCATCACTGCAGATCAAAAATATCCTACAAAAATCCAATTAAAATGAAACATGAGTAAAGCATATTTATGGTAAATTATAGAACTCTGTTACTGAGCCAGTGGTAAGAGATTTATTCTTTTACTTGAAGCTACAATGTTCAGTACTTTTTTATAATTACACCCCGTCAGAGGTGAAAATAAGCTACAGAAAACATCCACCTGAATCAGTAGACCCTCAGCTTTATGGCACTTTACTGTATTCCAGCTCGTTGTCCAGCTGTCCAGCCAACAAGTCTTTGGATCACTCTCACTGCTCGGGTCATTTTTCTGCCACAGCAAGCACAGAAGGCATTGAAGACAACTGGCTCAGCACTAAACAGCAGGCACAGAATTTGCAACTACCTGGTGAACACGGTGGAGCATTTTGCAACCAGAGACTGGTAGAGACCAAAAGCAGAGCTGAAAGAGAGCAAATGATTTTAAATGACCGTCAATGTTGCTCTGTAAGTGCTGCATTAGTAAATAAGCAACGGTTTGCTAACTAGTTCACTATACAAACTGAAAATGTCACCATTTATTCTGTTGGTGGCCAAAAACGTTACTTGGCATTTAAGTTGGAAGTAACACATTGTAATAAACCCAATTTTAAGTAAAGTGCAGCCTTTGAAATCTTGCCTCAAGCTGCAGTCATCAATAGTTTGCTTTAGACAACTGATCAAATGATTGTGTACAATTATCACCTTATCTGTACTTCCCCTCAGCTCTCAGGAGCATTGTACCTCATCTCATTGTTTAGGTTTTATGGCCTGCAACTCATTTACCTCTACCTCATTTCCAGATAAACACCACCAGACATCACACACACAGGGTCAGCAGCTGGCTGGTAAAACTACAGGAGCTTTTAGTCAGTTCAGAGCCAGATCTTTCCCTCAGGAGTGAGTGAAGATCCAAATTGGAGCTAAAAAATGGAATAAATATTATATTTACTTACATCCGTTGGACACAAATATGACTGGCTGGATGCTGGTGTCCACAGGGTAGGTAAATATTTAGTTTGCGACATGTTTTCCAAATCAACTTCATAAGATGATTAGAGTTTTTTTTTGCTTTCCCCCAAGAGGCTGAAAACAGAAGTATTCAAAGTGAACAAAGCATTTAAAGTGAAAATTATTTATTTTTCAATTTATAATAATGTATTGTGTTACATTATGGCATTAGCCTGTAGTTGCTCCAAATGGAGCTTGTTTTAATTACTTTCTACACTGCTGGGTAGTTTAATGTAGAATGGCAAATGTTCTGTGCTTACACTATGTGGCACTTTCCTCGTTTTGATTACAACTCAGAGTGTTTCACTGTACAGTCTTACCTCTCACCAGTTCACACACACATTCATACAGTGCATGTATGTGCAGCACTTTCTCAAATATACATCACTCACACACTGCTGGCACAACTGTCAGCGGCAATTTTGCCTCCAGAGACCGTAAGCTGAAAACTGTCTAGAGCTGATTTCACTTGGAACAGCAGCAAAACATCACTTTGGTATGAAACTTAAAAAAAAAGAAAACATCCAGCAGCCATTCTTCCTCTTCTCTCAGTTTACTGGAGGATCGTTAACAACTTGAGGTTCATATCACAGTGATGTTGTGTTGCTGTTTCATGTGAAATCAGCTTTGCACAAGTTTTCTCTGAGGTTTAAACGTAAAATGTTCACACACTGTGTGTGATGACTGTGTACCACGACTCAACGAGAGCGAGAGAGAGCAGCGTTGGTCGAGAGGCCTACAGTATATGCTTAAGCGAGAGAGGGAGAGCCGATAATGAACACAAAGCAGTGAAACAAAAACACAAACCGTAATTTTCTGATTGTTTCACAGTGCTTTTGTTCTAAAGCACAAAAACAACCTGCTGGACGATGTTGCATTGCTAAGTTTTACATAAAGACAGACATGAATTCAGCTCAGTGCAGCTGGTCTGCTGAGAGCCACAGACACACAACCAATCACCCAGACAGCTCAGCCGTTTAAACTTTTCTTAAACAAGTATGACTATCCAGAATTAACAATTACAATATCAACATTGTTGTTTTGACGAGTAATAAGGGTAAAATGTAGTTTTTGTCTTTTTATCCAGTAATAATCAATGAATCCAATAAATAATCGACTATCGATTATCAAAATAATTGTTAGTTGCAGCCCTACTCTGCAATGTAATTATCAGCCATGACTGTAAAACAAACACACCATAAAATCAAATGTTTGCCGGTTGTCCTTTAAATTTTTTCCCCCTCTGCACTTCTGGGTCTATTATTTGATTTATATATCATCAAACACTTTGATGACAGTTTCTTAGTGACATCTAGACATTGGTTATATACAGATTGAGTCCGCTGGCTGGATGACCGATTGACAAAGATTCCAAGTGCACTGTCAGCACTATCAGTTCTTCAGATTAATGTTTTTAATGATTCTTTTTAAGTGATTTCTGACCATTATGATCATAGATTGTTTGACGGATGAGTCTAACTGACAGCCTCTGAGCTTCATATTCCTAAAGCAGGATGAAGTCAATAAGTGCTGTCTGTATGAGCCAGCATCGGACAGGCATAAATGATGGCATTAACAGCGAGTGAGTGATCGGTTGCTCAGATTAGATTCTGAGGTTTAGCGCTGGGAGACGAGGACACCAATATGTCTCAGGCCATTTGTTTGGCTCCCCCGGACCAGTGGCGGGTCAATCCACAATCAGATTCTGCTGGTGGATTTCCACATTGATGAGATGACAGTTCAATCAATTGTTAGGCTCTGACCTTACCAGCCTTTAGTTGTCAGAGTCGGGACATGTACATGTATGACCGGGTGTCATCTATCTTCTTTATTACTCTTGTTGTAGCTTAATTAACTCCACATCATGATTGAATGGTAAAGGTTCAAGCGAATAATTTAAAGGTCATCTGGTATTACTGGAAAGTGTCATGTAATTCTTCATGGAGATTTAAAGAAAATAAAGTGCTTCGGTTCTTTTCCTCCATCACGGAGGGGGGCAGAGATCCTTCGCTCCTTAAACTCAGACTTTTAACCGGATACACTCGGTGCGCACTTTATGTGCAAGTGGTGTTTCAGCACCTATCACATTTCTTTCCGGTAAAGGTTGTGACCTTTTGGTGGTAATTAGTTTTATACATAATTTGGCTGTGATTTTAACACTAGACAGCCTTTGAGCCTATTCATACCTCTAACAAGCCCAGTGGTAATTACAGCCGTCAAAGAGGCAGAATGGGAGTAATCATCTGCAGCTATAAAAATGCACGTCTGCTACACCTGAAAGTTCAAAAGTCGAGACTTATCAAGACTCTCAAATTCTAGATCTAATTTTGTTCTGTCCTGAGACTTTCTTGTTTCCTGTGGGACATAATGCAGGGAGAGAGCATCTGAGAGTGTATTTGTTTGAAGCATGGAGGGATGGGATTGTTAAAATATGTGCTAGTTCTGCTTTATTGGGGGAATTTCTCGTGATTTGCATCTAATCCTAAGAGAAATGTGTTTTTGATGTAAAAACAGAACAAGAAAATGAATGTTTTTGTTGTTGTTGAAGGACAAGACAAGTGGTTTTTTTTAATCCCATAAAATGTATGTCTTACATAAAAAGACAAACAAACAACCATGAATTGATCCTGCTCACAAATATTGTCTGTGTAGCCAAAGCTTGATAAAGGAAGTGACGGAGGTTTATAGACACAAAATATGACAAACATTGTTTGTTCTTTCAGAAGATGTTTTACCTATTGAAGATATCTGTCAGTTTAGTAATGCTGCAGTAACATTGAAATTAACAGGAAGAAAAATGACAGGAAGAAAGGAACCGTGTCATTTTCCTCGATTAAGTTAAATTACTATTTTTATTTTTAGTGCCTAAGACACTAAAAAGGTAGATATGAACTGTTTGCTGGTTTTTGGTCACTATAACAACAGTTTTAGAAACAGATGCATATTAACAAGCACAGACAAGCAAGACTTGAACATACAGTAGTCTAAACATGTTGCTGTAAAATGCACAGTTTCAGTTATACAGTGGTGTATCTGCTTCTGTACGGACTGGCTGGGTAAGTTAACATGAGCACTGTCTCTTTTGGTCAGTCCTGCACAGCACACACCTACACAATCTCTCCCCTGGGGAAAACAGAATAAAACACATATTGTACATATAGAGAGTGGGGGCCACTGGTGTTACATAGACGTTGTAGGAGACACACAATAAGATAGATGCTGCACACGTCTAATTTATGGTGAGCTGAATAGATCAGAGAATACAGTACAGCTGATATGAGGTATACTGACAAAAAAGCTTTGTCGTACCCAGAATACACAACCTTTATCTAAAGTGGCCACGCATGCATTTTTGATCTATATCGTTTGTTTTGAAGGGAGGGTCAAAAATCATTACTTTGCACGCACAAGTTGAAACCCAGTTTTCTTTGTTAGGGCACAGTGGAGGCAGGAGGATGCTTCTCATAGCAACAGCTGACTCTGCCAGCCGTTATTTCAAGTATGAGGCAGTCTCAGCTAATTTAAAGATGGACTCCATTAACTTGCTTTTCCTAACTACATGACTGGCAGACAGCATCAGAAATCCAACAAAGATGAGAGGAGCTCCTTTTCTGGACCTGACAGACCAAGTCTGTTTTTTCTGTGGGTGTGTGTCGGGCTGGATTTTGGGAGATTTGAAGTCTTAAAAGCACAATTCTTTATTTTAATAATTACTGACTTTCTATAGAACCCATTTCCCTGTTGAATTTTATACAGTTCAAGAGAAATTACAGCGCCACTACTCTATGAGAAAAGTAGTACTGTGAGCATTTGGAAGCAGATAAATGGAGATTGTTTTTAAGC